TTTGGTTACCTCAAAGGCGAGTAATCACTGAGCGTTTCCTTTATTCTGCTGTACTGCATGGATTGATAACTATAACACTTTTATATTCATGATCACGAATGTCTTAAGCCATGTTTATAAAGATGCTATACTTTTCACCTTCATAATTTAACTTATGGCTTACGACTTGTTATTGAATATCCGCAGGTGGGACGCCTCCAGGTTCTGGGGGTTGTTAAGGGACTTTCGGAGCCCGTTTGCTGGGTTGAGGTAGTTATGTTACTTACTGCTCGGTTTCCCCTACCAGGGGAAACGTCGGAGCGCTTTGGATGTTGACACTGTGGCATTTGGCCGAAGTGGCGTCCTAGGTCTGAATGACCGCTTAACTATCTTCTCTTGGCAATCGCTGGAGTCTGAATGTATCTCATGGCATGATGTGTGAAGAGATTGTTACTTTAATGATAGTCATATTGCTCGGTTACCTCTGATTCAGGGGTAACGTCGTCTTTGGGGTACTGACACAACGGCCCTTGGCCAGCGTGATATCCCGGTTCCTGAACTGTCCTTTTGTAACAATCGTCAAACTCAGCACGTCTGACCATACACCTAGCGACCAAAGAGTTAGAGTTAGTCTGTGTGACAACTCCGAGTTAATCTGTGTGACGACTCCTAGTCAGTCTGTGTGACGACTTAATGATCAGTCTGTGTGACGGTCAGGATTAGTCTGTGTGACGATCCCGTGATTCAGTCGATGACGAATCCCTAGTAGTAGTTGGGGTACATTAATGTAATGGTAAATAGTAGATTTGTGCATGTGATGTCATGAGTCAGTTGAATACGGGAGATACTCATAAGTCTTTTTCTAAAAATAGGTGTTGGCCCCGACAATCCGATCATATCGCACTTATCGCTTGCCAAAGGAGGATAACTCGTTGTCGTTTCGTCACCAAGTAAGTGACTTTAATATTACCCTGACATTGTTGCCCATATCGAATTGTTTACGTACTGTCCATGTAGTAAAAATGAAATCGTACGGGGCGGTACTTCGAAATCTTCTAAGATGAGAAGAATACCGTTTTCAGCATCACAGACAGGTATCCATAGATATCCAAAGAAGTTTATGAAAAAGCATGTAAGGAAAAAGATCTTGGAATGAGTACTCGTCAAAAGTGGAGACATTTGTTGGTAAACACCTCAGAAGCATTCAATAATGTTACTAAAATCGTTCCCGCTACTTCAGCATTTACAAAAAGATTTTTTCGTTGATGAATGCAAAGTGACGGGATAACGACATGCAATTTATTTTGAAATCCTGTCTCAAATAAAGTTAGAAAAAAATAAAAGTGATTTTGAGATAAATCTGATAATTTTAAGGCCTATCCAGAAAAGGTTGCTTTTTCTTGAAATAAGTAAGGCTTAGCAACGGAAATGTATGACGTATTATACATTTTTGAAATCAAAATTAAAAAAAATCATTTGTGAAAAAATCCAATATGGCGTCGCTAAAATAAATAAAGTTGATGCTGGAGGGCAAGAGATAAAACGTCATATCGATATTCTTATTATGCCATCTTGTAGAGGAGAAAAAGATACAATGTTAAACTGCAACTCATTTTAAAATTCCACTTCAAATAAGTTTAGGAAATAATACAAACGATTTTGGAAAAATTCGGTTTTTTCGACTCTCTCCGGAAGGACTTTGAATTTCGAAACTTCGTAAGCGGCATTTTGTTGATTATCTAAATACACAACTTTGTTCCCATTTAACCGACTTCGTATCTCTTACAGATTCCGCAATCCCAATGGTAGGGGGTCGGCTTTGAAACAACCTGTATATGTATGTAGTATATGTAGGATATGTAGTATATGTGGTACATGTAGTATATGTAGTATATACAGGGCGACTTTGAAGTTGAGTCATTAATTTTCAGATAATGAATGTAGAAGGAAGATAAACCAAAATATGTGTGTAAAAATATAAAAAAAATGTTACTTTGTTTTATAACGTATAAAGTATTTCAGTGCGGACCTGCATTTGATCGTGCGGTCTTGGAGCACCGGCATGCCCTCCCCTGTGAGGTCTTAAGTCACCTGATTCACGAGCTCTTTGTACTACATTAACAAAAGCACGAGGGGTTGGTTGCACTCGATTGGGAAACCGATCCGCATAACATCCTGATAAGCGTTTCAAATTCTTTCGATTTTTTGTTTCCGATGCGATGAACCGATAAGGCGGATTATATCCGTTGTTGCCAAACACGAGCACATAATATTATTATTGAGACAGGGTGGTACTCAAACTTCTAAAGGGCTATAACTTTGTTACTTTAATTTTACCAGAAAAATGTTAAAGGAAAAAACATTTCTTTTGATCAGATCTACTCACTGTTAAAATAAATGACTTAACTTCGAAGTCACCCTGTATAGTATATGTAGTATATGTAGTAATAATACCAAAAAAGTATTAATAAATAAGTAAATGCTGTTCATTTTTCAAAAATACTTAGACTAAAATATACTCTATTTCTTGCAAAAAAATAAACATGGGCGCATGAAAATGGGTAGCTCAACTTTATTTAACTACGAAGAATACTAAATCACCCTGTATAATAAATGATGTTCAATTATTGTATCTATCCACTTCTATAAATGAAAAATTAGAATAAGGTAGGATGTTGTAAAATCATGTTGGAAATTCTGTCGGAGCCTGGCCAATTCTCGGTACTAAATCTGACCTGGAGAGATTCTTAAGGGTTTCTAGCCAATTTTCACGCATATTTACTGGTGCCATTTATACGGATCACGTCCCTTTCAGGCTTGTAACTTCTGTCAACACGGCTGTTATCCCCTGTCCCATTTTGAATGGATGGTCGACATCCACCCTTCATTCGGAACGTCTCCATCTTTGTGTTGACACGGCATGTCCAAATAGTAGCAAATATTTTGGACGTTCACAAATTTACAAGCTGGACCACCTTTGGCGACTGATAGAGAAGCCGAATAATTGGAAACATGTGACCGAAACAATGGTTAGTGTGACACCAAAGTTGAGGCACTGTCATTTTTGTTAACGTAGCTCATTTAAAGCTCTGTTCGTACAGCTGTCACCACCCTGTCAGTGATTGTGTCGAAGATCACTCAACACAAGTTCCGTTCATTCTGCTACGCAATACAGGGTGGCCCATCCATGTGTGGACGGAATATTACTCATAAATACATTTTCGGAGAATCTATTTATGGAATGTTATACATGACATTTGAGGGCATATTTCTAAAATATTGGCCATTATACAGGGTGTCCCAATTTCGAACTACATATCAAAGTTGTGATTTTTCAAATGGAATGCCTCACATTTTATTGCATATCTGGATAAACCAATTCAAACGAAGAAAATTAATCTAACATAATATGGGGTTTTGGTAATTAGCTTCTGGGATATAAGGTGTTTTGTCAAGAAAAACCCCCCACTTCGGCAACCCCTCAGTCCGTCATTTTGAAATTTGAAGTACTGAATTTTATATCGAAAAAACTTACACACCTAAGCTTTTATCTTATTTATTACTTTTAAGATTTTTATTTTTTGCTCATACACGGTTCAAAAAGACAAATTGTAATTTTTCTCAAAAATTTCAAATGCATCACCCTGTATATTTGTGCAAGTTTGGATTCAATTTTTTATAACCTTTTTTTGATACTAGACACATAAGGGTTTTTACGGCTATTTTTTCGGTTATTAGCACGTCTTTTATGGAACGGCTTAATTCCCTAAAATATCGCAACATCCTTGGAAACAAATAAATTGTTGATTAGTTAGAAGCTGTCAAATTTAGCTTTGTGAGCATTATACTAAAAACGTGTTTGAAAATGAATTTTTCTAAAGAAGAAATGGTAAATATGGTATTCGTTTTGAGCGAAGTCCAAAGAAATAGTTTCCTAGCATCTCGCATTTATAAGCAACGGTACCGTAATATGAGACATCCAAGGCCGGGAACATTTTCCACACTACGACAACGTTTTGAATCAAGCGGAGCAGTTGAATATAGTAGAAAATGAATAAATAATCCAAGTGTCACCAATGAGGCGAATCAGTTGGAGATTTTATTAAAGATGCAGGAAAATCCCTATTTAAGTGCACGGCAAACTGGAGCAGAAACTGATATATGCAAAACTTCTGTCCAAAGGATTATTCACAAGCATAGGTACCACCCATATCACCTATGCTTGCATCAAGACCTTCGTCCTCAGGATTTCGCAGCTCGAGGCAACTTTTAACAGCATAGGTCTTATCAACAGGCATAACATGCAGTATTATACTGGATTAGGAAAATAGATTTCCAAAATAAATTAAGCTTGAATGTTTGGGTAGGAGTTATTGGCAGAGAAGTGATCGGGCGTTTCTTTTTTGACAACATATTAACAGGTACAGAATACTTTTTTGATCGAGCATTTGCCTTTGCTTTTCGAGGATGTCAACCTGCTAACTCGGATGCATATGTACTTCCAACATGACGGCGCACCTGCGCATTATCATAATCGTGTGCGTATCTATTTGGACACCTGGAACAACAATCATTGGATCGGTCGTGATGGGCCTATATCTTGGCCTCCTAGATCACCAGATATGACACCGATGGACTTCTTTCTATGGGGCTACGTTAAGCAAGAGGTTTATAGATATCCTACCATCTACCCCGGAAAATATGAAGGAAATGATTTAGGCTACTTGCACACACACCGATTTTGGACGGCCGGTAAAATATCGGCCGACCACATTTTAATAGTAAACCATTGGCAGGTGTTTAAGCTTGCACACTGGCCGACCTACCGACCGGCACCGGAAAAAATCCGGTTAGCAGCCGGACATTGTCACTGTGATGCGCCGGTACCGGGAATACAGAGTCATAAGAGTTTGAATAGGAGCTTGCATACTCACCTATTATTTAATGGTCGTGATTACGACTGCAAATACGTTTACGATTGATAAAGAGATGAACATCGATAGTGACATACTTATTGTGCTAGTGGAAGCAAGACCAGTTTTATGGGATAAAACTTTGGTCATATTTAAAGGCTACTAGAGAAGCATGGAGCCAACTTTGCTGCGAACTGAATGAGGATTTTAAAGAAATGGAGTCCAAAGAGAAAAATGAATCCAGAACTTTCGCTTAAGTCTCCGACGCTTTATACGCTGGTACAGTAACCACATTACAACAACTCGTTGGGGATTCATTAAAAATAGTGTTGGAAATTAGCACTGCACCGGTAAAAAACCGGCGCGTGTGTAATCAGAGCCTACCGATAAAAAATCGGTCGATATTTTACCAGCCGTCCAAAATCGGTGTGTGTGTCTGCAAGTAGGCTAAGGATGCTTTTCTGAACATAAGGGAACACATGCTGAGGGCTGTGCAACGGTCATTTATCTAAAGACTACGGCTGTGTATTCAACATGGTGGAGATATTTTCGAGCAGTTTTTGTAGATTATGTCTTGAGTAGTGATAGTTGTTTGTTTATGTTGTTGTTATAGTTGTTTTTCAATATTACGCTTAAAGCTGATTTATACTGTTCCGATTGTTGTTAGTTTTCTACGTCAAATCTGTACTCTTAGTGGCAATATGGAACTAGCCCATTGTTTGTCTTTTGTTTCTATGGATGATGTGATCTCGCCAAAGACGGACTAACTCTAACGCAGCAATATTAAGAGATTGTAAGACTTATATCACAATATTAATTTATTTATTCATTTATTAATTCAAGCTAGTTTAATTTTGACAAAATGAGCCGTTTTTTTAGGAAATACTGCACCTCCAGATTCATCTAATTTGAACTAAAAACAACCCAAAACTTAAGCTGGTAATTTGAATATGAATACGAATCTGTATTTCTATATTTTCCAAATGGCGTAACCAGTATACAGGATCAGGTGCCAAAAGTAATAGAACTGTACTGAAACAAGACTGTTTTTCTCAAGAACGATTCATTTTATGGATGTCAAACATCAGTACATTTCTTTTCGGCTTAAACGTAAGGCTTTCCGAAAATGTTATCGTTGGGCCACTTTGATACAGGGTGTAGCAACGTTGCGTTGGGGTTAGTCTGTCCCTGGCGATCTAGATGAGTTAATTGTTTTCCATCATGTAAGCCCCCAACTAGTTTCTGAGCTGTCTAAATTCCATTGAAGTTATTTGAGAATGACCAATTTCCAGAAACCTTCTCAAGCTGTATTTTCTTTGGGTAGCCACGCCACGTATTTTTTGGGTAGCCACGCCGAACATTTTTTGTGTTCTATATGCATATTATGTCAGATTGCCATGTTGTCATAAAAGATTTAGGATTACCAAATTAGATTAAAAACATACCCTACAAAAATGTTATTTTATTGAGATGTATAGATTTTATTTTTTAAATAGAGGAGCTGAATTTTATTTAACGGACTCGTAGAATCTATTCGACACATTTTGCGGTTTTAGGTTATCCTTTTTATAATATTTTTTATGGTATACATTTTTTTAAACACAAGCAACCGCTATGGCAGACACTTAAATGCTATGGGGAGCTAATCTACCGTAAAGGAGACTTTTTCTATTTCCTCATCGATAACTTGCACAATCATATAACAAATACTTTGCCCTTGTGGGAAATAAGTACGTTTTGTGCTTGGTCATGTGACTTCTCTATCCAGATTCTATCAAATAAGGTGGCAGATAATGTCTCAACCTCTTATTAATATACAAATCCTTTTTGCAGCACCCCAAACATATGAGCAGTACTTTGTTTTATACCTGAACTACCATGAAGGCTTAGGGCCTAAACACCCGTGGGTAGCGAGGGGCTGTCGGTGGATACAGGGAAAGGCGGGGAATTCTAGCGAAGGGAACGAACCCGTGTACGTGAGACATGCGCATATTTTGCGACCGGCCGAGTGGTACTCAACGTTCGACAGTCTGCGACCGTCTACCACTTACGGACAATCTCGGCATCTACAGGCAAGAGAAGCATTCTTTTGAGACGGGATTCGAACCCGCACAGTCCACGGCGACTGATTAGGAGACCCATAACGTCTACCACCAAGTTACCGCTAGTGCTAGAACGCTAATAAAACGCGTTTATCAAAAGCACTAATAAATTTACTGTCGCCAAAATTGTAGGTTTTCTTTATACAAAATCTCCATATTGTTTATCTTATTTGTGCGATGAGCCGAAATCATTATCCTTTAACGATGTCAGACATGTACGATATGAACAAGGATGAGCTTGTCTTTGACATAGACAGGGTTCAATGTCAATATAATAATTACATGTACCTTATTTCAAAGACCCTGGACTTAAAAAGAAACTTTGATAAACTTGTGATAAATGGTCATACTTCCTCGAGTTCTAAACTCATCGCCTTCACATAAGGAGGTAATAAATGGACATGCAATACATTATTTTAGAAATCACAAGGCTTTTGCAGACTGCTATTTCACTGCGTGCATCTAAGATGTTAAACAGTTGGTTAAAATATTGCTTAAGTGGTAGTCAAAACGTAAATATCTTCTCTATTTTTAAAATGCTCACCTATTTTCCAAGTGTGAACAATTCAATTCGCTTTCCTAACCATCAAAGTGTTTTATATCTCCGATTAGATCTTTTCCGTTGCGCACATTAGGAAAAAAACCTCTTGCGTGTGAAGCTCTTAAAACAACTTAATATAATTTTTATGTGGCTTCTCAGAGCCTTTATAACATTTTAACAATTATGCAGTAAAACTTAGTCGAGATATTAAACGTTTTAGTACCGCACCATAAAAAATTTACTGTTTCAAAAGGAACGGACAACGCCTGTCGTATTGTTTGGTGGTTTTATGTGTTGGTATTGGCTATTTTTCAAACTTGCGACATATACTCGTATTAGGTTTGATTATACTGATATAACGGCTTGATAGAATTATTAGCTAAGATCATCCTGTAACCATTAGACAGACAAGATTAGATTTAGTATGGATGTAGAAAGTAAGTTAGTTAAGAAGATAAGAAAAGATAAACATTTTCATATTACAGAAGCTACAATAAAGAGGTTAGGTTCTATTACCATTTGTGGAATTGAGACAAACCTCTTCAGGTAGATTATTCCACGAACTTGACTAGAGTTGCGTGGGTTTTGAACAAATCGTTCCCATGGAACAACATCGCTCAGGGAAAAGAAAGAGTCGATTCCGACAATATCGAAGAAATCGATTCCGATGGTCCGAATTGACCTTTACGATACCAGCACTTAAAACCAGGTTGTATTTAAATAACGTGTTTGTGAAGGAACAATAAAGCTCGGATTTGGATATAGCCGTTGCCGTAATATGGATCCTGGTACTGACGCTTTTAATTGCAGCGAGTGCAAAGAAGTAACGATCTACAACGTAATAAAATAACTGTGGTGGAGTTTGGAGTACCTACTTTCTACGCTACTGGTCGAGGAAGTAATGTACTCGCAAAAAATCGAAAATGAGATGTTGCGTTTTTTGGACGTTACATGAGCACATAATTCGTTTCCGTCGGTCTGTCTGTCTGGCTCTGTCTGACTGACCACTTATCCTTAGTCCGTCTGAAATTTTAGGAGTATTTACCGCTGGCTGAAATTTCTAGCCACGGTTACTACTGCGCCAAGGACGAAAAACTTCGCAGTTTTTGAAAATCACTTCAGAGACGGCGGAACTAGGGATAAATCTCCATCTTACCGCCAAATGAAACCACAGATGCAGGATTGAAGACTTACTAGAGTTTCGGTCACCTTTGTGGCGTTTTTCAAAGTACAAAAAAAATGATAAGGGCAATATACTCGCATAATATGTATCGTGAAGGTGGCGGAAATGTAAGTAAATCTTCAGCTCTACATCTGTGGCTTTATTTTACGGCCAAAGGAGCATTGTGACTGATTTGATACAAATCGTTTTTTTTTCTCTATAAGTCAAGCTTTTCTGTGATATCAGTGAAAATTGGGAATCCGGGGTTTCTGAGGACGAGGAATGTAGTATATAGAGGGCGGATTATATACTATGAAACTAACGCCCTCTAGATAATGCGAAAACTGATAATACAAATTGCTACTCATCCTATTCCGAGATTACATGTTGATATCACAGAAAGAGTTAGTAAATTGTTGTGAAAAACAATTTTGAAAATTAACCTTCTACACCTAGTTCAAGAATCGACCGCAAATGTTTGGTTAAATAGAGTGCTGATACGATATGATAAAATCTAATAAAATCTTACGTATTTTGATGCTAGAAGATTTAAAATTTGCTATACCAGGATACATCGGGTACCGCGATAAAATTTCATGGACCTTCATCGCGTACCGAAATAGGACCGCGGGTAGTTGTTACTTATGCTTTTCAACAGCAACTGGCATGGACTTGCAATTGGAAAACCTAACCAGAGAAGAACGGGGTTTTGCCAACCGTTCCGCCTGACCAAATGAAACCACATAGTGCTTTTCAGAAAGGTCCGATAATAGGTACTTATTTTTTAAATGGATTAAGTTAGCAAGCTGAAATTCGGGGTTATGAAATTGACAAAAAAATAATCGCTTAGCGTATAAGTGGCAGTTGAAAATTTAAAGCTGTGCGCTATTTTGGAACATTTTTCAAATGGGCTGGGGGTCAGGTTATACCTAATTTAGAAGCTTCTTATGAGTACTTCATAACTCTAGAACATAAAATCACTATCTTCCAAAATGGCGGACAGGTAGTTTGTCAATATTGAGCGTTTTTGTACATTGAGTCGCTTATAATTTAATGGTACGTTATATAAAAATTTCTCTTTTGGAAATGTTTATCTGAATGTGCAATATAATACGGGTCAACTCATTCAAAGAAATTATCAAAATCTGTTAATTTTTTTATAAGGTATTCTATTACTCCTATACAGGGCACTGATAATACAAACTAAGCTAATAACTCTAGGCAATCGCCCAACATCCAGCGGAAAATAAAAACGATTGGAATAAATATAAGCATATTGTTTCATTTAAAAGAGAAGAGAAATTGATGTATTTATCTTGTAAGAAACGAAAAATTTTAGCGAACCGCTGCCGGTGACGAAGGGGTACTGCTGTGTGGTTGCTGCTCTGATAGCTGAGGGAACGACGATCGGCCGCCGACCCTGCCAGAGCGAGCTGTAACGTCGAGCAGTGCACATCGTGCTCGGATAATCTGCCGCTCCGAAATTACGTTAAATCGTTGTGGTATTATTATTGTTGTTAATACAAGTTGACTGGTGGAAAATTAGTGTCTGACTATCCGTGTTTCTAACATCAGAAACGAGATTGTGCCCAGACGACCACAGTGGGTTGTGATTTGTTTTGAAGACATTTACGTTTTCTTTGTCTTGTGAGAACAAAGGATAACGGTACATCGATATGATTGCTGCGTCATACGTAAGAAAAAAGATTGTGCTGCGTAGTGTTTTTGGATCAAGTCTTGGTGTTCCTGATAAGGAAACTCAATTTAACGATGGCTTCAACAGACGAAGACCCCACCCAGTCGCTGGTAGCAGAATTGGTAAATGGCTTGCAGTCCCAAAGGTCGGTAGATTTGCCCTACTTTAAACCCGAAATAAACGAAGCCAGTAAATGGGTAAGTCAAATTGATGTCATTAAGCATGAAGTTGGATGGTCTGCCGCTCCGAAATTACGTTAAATCGTTGTGCTATTATTATTGTTATTAATACAAGTTGATTGGTGGAAAATTAGTGTTTGACTATCCGTGTTTCTAACAATATAGAACCTAAAATGAGAGAATGATGCCAAAGTTTCAAAAAATACATTCCAGAGATACCTCGAAAACCGGATTGGTCGTCCAACATTATTACGCGTCGATAAATCGGAGATCTTGGACATTTCTTAAAATCATTTTTCGTAAAGTATTTTTCTTTTTTCTTGTATATCTGTTCTAGAAAATCTACATTGGAGTCTGAAATCGCTATCGATTTGGTATTATTGGGAACTGATCCTTTCAGGTCATTAAGCGATTTCGCTAAATCAGTTAATTTGTCATGAATTTTGTCGAACCTTTTATCATCTATTCCTTCTAGCTGGGAAGCAAACCTAGAGCATACCTTGTTTATTAGTTGTTCCGTGGATGCATTATTTGAATTGTTCCTAGTCATCATTACTTTATAACTGCGGTATAACAACAGGCAGCAGCGGTGGCCGCAGTAGTAGACTCTTCGGTCTCCTGATCAGTCGCCGTCCGCTGTGCGTGTTCGAACCCCGTTCCAGGAGAAATTTGTCTCTTGGCTATGGATGTTGTGATTGTCCGTAGGTGGTAGACGGTCTCTGACTGTCGAACGCGGAGGTACCACCCGGCGGATCTCGTAGGCGGAGCCAGAATGTGTGCATCTTCCATGCACACGTGTTCCCTCGCCAGAGTCGGTGTGGCGTCCCCCCTTTTCCGTGTATCCCCCTATAGCTCTACGGTAACCAATGCGTGTTCAGGCCTTAGGCCTTCGTGGTAGCTGGAGTATAAAAGAAAAAAAAAAGACGCCAAAAACAGCAACTCAGAAATTAGATTTGCCGATCAAGTGTTACTTGCCCCAGCAATCAACTATTGCAATGCAGCAGGCTTACAGGTCTTCAGCCTTTTTCCAGAGACCAATATTCACAGGAAAACTGAGTCTTTTCGCATCAAAAACAGTGATTTTATGAGAGAGCACGCAGACACGTCTACTCGGTACATATAACATGAACTCCAACAACTCGAATTTAAGCTTCCTAACTTGTGAAAAGCACTGTATGTGGTTCCATTCAGCCAGATAGAAAACCCCTGTAAGTTTTTCTCTGGTTTTGTTTTCCACTGGCAAGTCCATGCCTACACTGCTTCGATCAAGATGTAACTTGGCTTTATTGCATTTTAGCATCAAAATACGTATGATTTGATTGGTTTTTGCCATATGAACTTAGTAAACGATGTAACGAATTAATTTGCATATATTTATATATATACTAAGTGACATATAAATCCGAACACCCAGTTTAAATGGTTTTATTTTAATAAAATTTTGTATAAGTACTTAATGAAGCATAATAAGTAAATGATAAAAATTTCAAAATGATTGCACTGCTTTAAAGCCCTTTGACCTTTAATAATGTGTGGATGCACCCTGATGTGCTACGCATTCTCCAACGCGCCTAGGCATGCTTCTGATCAGGTGGTCAATGTCCTCCTGTGGTATCTCATTCCAGGCAACCACCAACTCCTCTCGAAGTGCTTCTAGAGTCTGAGGAGGACGTTGCAAATTGAGCAATCTCCTACCCATCATATCCCACACGTGCTCAATTGGGGATAAGTCGGGAGATCTTGGTGGCCATGGTAACAATGTGACATCGTTATGTTGAAAGAAGTCTATTGTCGGGCATTATCTTGTTGGAAAGTTGCCCGGGTGTCAAGATAGGGTAAAAGATGGGGTTCTAGAACTTCGTGGATATAACGCTGCGCGTTCATGTTACCTCTGATGAAGATTAAAGGTGACCTGGAACCATAAGCTATAGCACCCCAAACCATAACTCCAACAGTGTGATGAACATGTCTTTCAACAAAAAACTGTGGATTCCTCCTTTCACCACGTCGCCTTCTAACCCTGGCACGACCATCGTGCATGCCTAAACAAACTCGAGACTCGTCACTAAAGACAATACTGTTCCATTCCTGATCCCAGGTTGACCGTTGTCTGCACCACTCAAGGCGATTACGTCGGTGTTCTCGAGTTAAAGGGAGGACTCAGTGTGGCCGGTATGAAAACAAGCCAAAACTTCTCATTCGTCGGTAAACACTTCGCATGCCAATAGGTCTTCCGTGTTCTGCAAACCATTCATTTGCAATGGACCTGGTAGTGGAGAAACGGTCCCTTAAGGCCAATAATCTTAGGCGGCCATCTTCACGGTCTGTTGTTCTACGGCGGCGTCCAGTGCCCCTTGCTCTTTGCGTACGGCCTTCTCGAAGCCATGCCTGACAACACCTAACCACAGTGTCTACACTTCTTTGCACTCTAACTGCAATTGCCCGAAAAGAAAGTCCAGCTTCCCGAAGTCCCACTATACGGCCCCTATCAAACTCACTAAGTTGACGAAATCGTACAGGTCTCCGTACTCTAGGCATCGTAACCGATCGTAAAGGATGTCAAGAACCAAAATCCGCCAACGTTGATTCTTTACTGCGGCTGAAATATTCATTTTTAGAGCGTTAGTGAATTAAAAAAAAGCAGTATAAAAACCGGAATGCCCAACTGATAAGGCTGAAAATTTTTTCACTTGTTATTTACAGTAAGATAAATACATTCACCAACTTTTATTAAAATAAAACCGTTTAAACTGGGTGTTCGGATTTATATGTCACTTAGTATGTATATATATATATACTCATTAACGTTGTATACAGCAGTTTAATCAAGAGTTGATTTTTGGCGCATTCATCAACCACCATGTACCTACCCTAGATCTATAGCCCTCTGTGTTTTAGAAACTGTCACAGCCGTCAAAGCTTGATTCATACGCTATAGATCAACTAGCTAAATTCACTACTTTTAAACTAAACTAAAATTAATTCACATAGTGCTTTTGTGAATCACTTAGAAAGTAAAATGATGTAATACATTGTTATTGGTCCATTAATAAACTATTTTTGAATAAATTAGTAATGGAGTTATATTATATTGTAGTAAACCTTCAAAATACTTTAAGAATCTTGAGAACTACATGGGAGTTCCCGTTCATCCAATAAGCTGCGTTGTGAGAAAGATACAATTAATTCTGTATACGTAAGATTTAATGCTAAGAAAAAAAAGGTAAAAATTATATCCTCAGGTAAAGGTGAATCACACGCTTCCTGAGATATAAATATGTCAGTTGTAATGTTTAACTGCATAAGTTTATCATAATGTTAAACATTTAATCACGTCTAGATAAACTTTGAAGTGCCAAAGGAAAGCAAACAACCCATGTACATAAGCGCTTAATGCGTTCTTTCTAGCAGCTTACGAGAACTGGATCATATGGAGTTAGTATGAACATGATGAAAACTATTGCTCTAAGAGCTGGTGGCATTGGAACCATTGTCATTTTGTTGTGGACCAAAAAATTCCATATCTGACGAATAACTGCGACACAGAGATATGAAACCAAGATATCAGAAAAGACTACGAATATACAGCATGGTATACCGTTTCGATCTTGGATTTCGATGTGTACGATGTCTGTGTTGCCATTCAACACGTATATTAGAAAGAGTGCGCGCTAGAAGCGTCGTCACCACGTTGCTTGGCATCGACAGTGAAAGAGGTTACAGTTGCGCTCCGCGCCCTCTCCCACAGTCATTGCCAGGCAACGGTGACGACGTTTATAGGGCGCATTTTTTCTAACATACGAGTAGCATGGTGTTACACTCTTCTCTCTCTTTCGTACACATTAAAAGCAATGACCGAGAAACGATGAAGTAAACGAATTTCAGGGTAGACTGGTTTTTCGACTTGATTATCTCGTGAACCATAGCAGTTTACATGAGATGCGTAAGGAGTCTGTATCTCAAGATCATTGATTTTTGACATTACAGTACAAAATTTTAACAATCAAATACCTATAAAACGGAATTATAACATATTCATAATGATAAAGACACCGAACCGACTATTATCCATTCTCAATGCTGTTCAGAGGAGGGCTATCCGACTTATCGATGGATCTTCTCTAACGAACAGTGTCGGGACCCTCTCGCACCGACGAGGTGTCGGCGATCTAGCTCTTTTCTACCGCTATGTCAACGGGCTTTGCTTCTCATCGCTTCCCAGTTCTACTATGCTTAGGCAGTTCAAAACTCGGTTTATCAAAGTTTCTTTAAGCTTCGCGTAGCAGCCGCGATACCCTGGCATTTAGGTCCTCTGCCTGCGTGGATGCTTCGGTGTAAAAAAATATCTTCAAATTTGGATCTTCTATGTTCAACTTGCAGTAACAGTTAATTTGTTATTGGAAAGATCGTAGAATCTCAAATTCGTTATTTAACTAGGTAGGTATGTAAAACAATATATCTGGAATAATAATGGAAAGATGCAGACTTTGCAGCGATTAATATAACAAAGCATCAATAATGTTCAACCGTTTCCGCAAACTTTGCGGCTAATAGTCGTTTTCGACGAATTGACCGCTAATACCACTACTTCATGGTTTTTGATATATACGAAAAACTGTTTAACAAGCAAAAAGTCAGCCAGCATTTTTTTGTATTTTTACATGAGTGACCTTTCTGTTTACCCCAACCTAGTTTCGTTGTGGGTTAAAAAAAGCGAGGTACGACAATTTTATTTCTGTTCCAGCTCTTGGACTATGTTCTACAACAACGTAGGTACTAATATTAGATTTAGTATTACGTCAAAATTCTCATTGTTGAATATAATAGTCTTAAGCAGTTCTTAGTATACTTGTATATACAGAAATGCAAAAGTGCATTATGCAGAAGTTGGTTTAACTTCTGCGGATGGCTTTCTGATTCATCTCTATCAAACTGGCCTATAAATGTAATCACAGATTATGAAACAACGGCTTTACTGACGTTTCGGCTTCCATGACAGCATTTTTCAAAGTACAAAATTTAAAAAATGGGCGCGTTAAGGTCGTAGGTCCTTTTTATTCAACAGCCTGTTTGAAGGAGTATTTTCAATTATTTTCGTCTGATATCTTCTTGCTGTATAAAGACATGATTGTTTGTGAATGAATAACAGTGTAGCTCTAAAATCGTACGACAATATTCCAGATTTATAGTAGATTATATTGAGATACCTTTTTCTTGACATTTTTTTTCAAAAAACATTAGTTTTTCCGAAAAAGCAAACTGAGTTCCTAAAAATAAACTCACTCAAGAGCTAGGAAAAGAGCAGTACAAACCATTGCTGAAAAAACAACTTTTTTGCTCAAACGGCTTTCGAGCTATCGGTGCTGCTGTTTGGTGTAAAAAATTAAAAATTACCTAAGCATTGCTGACAGAATTTATGGCAGTAGGATTATTAATTTGGGCCATATTTTGTCGTAGTAATGTAAAGTGTGCAGTCATTGGAGAAAACGTACAATGGGTAGGATGGACTTCGTGAAAGAAACAAACAGAGGTCACCTCATGAAGTTACATTTTTTTTTGTGAAAATTGTAAGAAAGCTATGATTATACAATCAGTGCCAAACAATAAAACGAAAAAAACTGACAATTTTGCAACAGTTTGGGAAATCATACCAACTGGCATAGATCACCGTCAATATGAGGAGTTTATGGCAATTTTAGATGTTCGATGTTCTAGAACTTTTCGGACAGAAACTGAGAATGTCAAGAAGGTATGTTGTATATCTCTCATGGAGAACAAAAAGAAGTTATACAAAACAGAATACGTATATATATACCTGTATATAAGTATACATATA